ACACACACACACACTTATGTGCTTGTGTCTTGTCTGTTTCAGACTGGAGTATTCTGCTGAGCAGGAGGAACTTGCAGTCCCTCAGCAGGCGACTGAAGGAGACGTGCAGGATGTGCGGCATATCTGCTGCTGACACTCCCAGCATCCTTAGCGCCTGCTTAGTTGCCATGGAGCCTCAAGGTTCCTTTGTGATTATGCCAGGTAAAAGAAATAATATTTAAAGTTTGGCTAGTTTCACTTCATTTACAAAAAGCCTGTAAATCTGAAAGCGCTCTCCTTCGTCTCGTCTCTGCAGACTCAGTGTCGACAGGCTCCGTGTTTGGTCGAAGCACCACCCTTAACATGCAAACATCGCAGCTGAGCACCCCTCAGGATACATCCTGCACACACATACTGGTATTCCCCACGTCAGCCATGGTGCAGGTCAACACTAACACTTCAGAGCCCATCGACATCGACACCTTTAACCCAATAAATCCCGGTATGTTTTCACAGCTCACAGAGCTGCTACAATATATTTCTGCTCAAAGCTGAAAAGCCAGAATGACACATTTTTCCCTCTCTGCAGATGGATCAGAGGGAATGAACATCTTTGATTTGTTTGAACAAGACATGGATCCAGACTTCATCAACATCCTGCCCAACTCCCCCACAACCTCCCCTGTTCACTCCCCGGGCCCCCAAGGGGGAGATGGAAGCAAGGTCTGCCACCTTTTTCACGAAATCACTCGTCAATATAAAATGTCAGATACAGACTTTAAGATTATTAACAGGCTGTGATGTATGAACCACTCGGCAGTAATTAAACAACTTCTTCTGGTTTTCGTCCTCAACTTAATAGTTACATTAAAAAAAGTTAAAGAAAAAAAGAAAAGAAAAGAAAAGCATGCTAATAAGCAAAAAAAATTAGGTGCCCCTTGGTTATGAAAATATGATGCCTGTTTTGGCTGCAGTGATGCTCTGATCGATGACTTTATCACCTTCGTTTCGCAGGGTCAGAGTACAGATCGGATGGAGTCTCACGAAGAAGCGCTCAACATCTTGCAGCAGCCGATGGCTTTGGGTTACTTTGTCTCCACAGCGAAGGCCGGACCGCTGCCCGACTGGTTCTGGTCAGCCTGCCCCCAAGCCAAGAACCAGTGCCCACTCTTTCTCAAGGTGACTCATATCTGTACTACTAAAATGATATGTTTATGAAGTCTTGAGTAATCACAATAATGCCGTTCTTCAACAAAATGCCTCTTTGTCGTCGTTGCTCTGACCTATCGACAGTGCTGCTTGTTTACTGGTTAAAGAATACTGACTCTTTTACATCAGTTGATGAAATAATGAGATTTTACAACTCTACATGCAGATGTGTTGAACCTGAAGACTCTGATTTCATTTGTCTCTTTCTTTTCCAGGCCTCTCTTCACCTGCACGTGTCTTCTGTCCAATCAGATGAGCTTCTGCACAGTAAACACTCCCACCCCCTGGACTCTAACCACACCTCTGATGTGCTCAGGTATGAACTGTAACCAAACTCAATTTTTTAATAATTAGAAAGACATTTGTTTCACTCCCAGCTTTATTAACATTTCCATGT